TGCTTCCCAGGGATTTCTCATGGGCAGAACCTCCAAATATGCGACCCAAATAAGAGGGTAGGAACATATGCACCCATTAAAAAAAAAAAAAAACCAATGACAAATTGTCTCTTTAGATTATTAATTAAAACAAACTATTTATTATTTAACGTGTAACGTATCAGACATTAAAAATTTATTTGCCACTTAAGAATGTTTTTAATAAAAAACTGACATGTGATGTGATGATGTGAGATTTTAAATAATAAATTTTAATTGATAATTTAAAAAACTAATTTATTCTCAATTTTTTTTAAGATAAATCTGTCTCCACCTCTTATTTGAAATAAGAGGCGAATTTAGAGTTTGGCCTTTCTCTTGTGAGTTCTCCAAAGAAGTCTTCTTTTTTATTTTTTGGCTTTTCATATGTTCCTGGTCCAGGATAACTAATGAATCACAAGCTTTTTATTTGGTTTTTTCTAAAGTTTTGTTGCTCTGATGACCATCACACATAATGTTTCCAAAAAAAGGATCAAACTAATTAAAGTGACAATTATACCCAAGGGACTGTTTTTTCGTAAAGCTTATATATATATATATATATATATATAAAACTTCTTCTTCTTCTTCAACCAGTTAATTAAGCATGCATCACTGCACTTACTAATTTATAAATAAAATATTTATAAAAAAAGGAAAATAAATTCCTTAGTAAATTAGTTCCATCTGGAGGCAGAAGTTGAAAAAGTAATGAATATTGATCAGGCAAATAAAGGAACCAAATATACAAATCGATATATGGCTTTAATTAATACACGGCTTAAGTATATTTTGGACATGACCCATTTAATTTCATGGAGTCATATCCGTCGAAATTACAAAGAGGGAGGAGAACAGAGAAAAACAAAATAATTAAGTAAATAAAAGCTGAAACATTCTAAATTCCATCTTATTAATAATTTAACTCATGCATATAAGGAGAGTGGTTATGGCTGCATGATCAATTGTTAGTCATACATATTATGTATTTTTTTTTATATCATTATATAATTTTTTATTAAAAGTTAATTATAATATCTCAAAATACCTGTTTATAAACTGATTTTGTTTTACTAATAATAAATATCAATTATATTATCAATTATCAATTATTTTTAATAATAAAATTAAGATAAAAATTAAACATATTGTGTGGCCATAACCACTGCAGCATCTAAGCAGTGGTACTGAGAGCATGCAATGAGAATTCTCTCTGTTGCCTTTTTGAAGAGAATAATGAGAGTCTTTTCATGATTTCATGAAAAATCTTTCAACTTTTTCAATGGTATTGAATTCATTAATTTTTTAAAGGTCTAAAATAGAACAAGCATGAGCATTTTTCTCAATTTTGACAGATTATTTTTTCGATAAAATGTGAGCTCAATTTCGAGAGATTAGATAATTAGAAGAAGGTATTCAAGAAAGAAAGAATTTCGTAGCTTTTTTTGAAATTTCATCAGCATAATTTTCCTTATCCTCTAGTATGGTAGAATATATGAAACCAAGTCGTTATGATGTTGACTGGGGGCAGGACATCGATCTCCACTAAACTGCCAATTCCAAGCAACTAGCAAGGACCAACATGGAAATTACCTACATGTGTTTGTCGATCGAATCAGCCAGAAAGAAGCACTCAAAAGACAAAAGTCAGTGCATGATCACTTAATTTGAAATCAAAGAAATTAAGACCAACAGGGTTTAAATATAATTTTTGTCTATACTGAATGGTGGTTTTTACATGTATGATGATTAATTTACCAATGACGATCTAATAAAAAGAGTTAATTACGGCCTTAAAGTTTTGATTTATTAGTAACTAAATATCATTTTGTGTGTAAGTTAAGTAAATGATTTTAAGTCAAAAGGTTAAATTCATTTGTAAAAAATAGACAATGGGGATATTGAATGCGTGATGAGAGAGCGAGGCAGACCGAAGGAGCGAGGCAGTGGACGACGAAGATCATGGGACCAGCACAGAGCACAGAGCGAGGGTCGAAGAAGCACCAGAAGGTATAACGGAGCAGCTAGCTGGAATAGAGGCCGCCAGAGACAAGGGTATGAAGGTGGATACGATCGAGCCCTTTACAACCAAGCAACGGTGTTTTTCTTCACCAACTTTCCAGATGGCTGGACCTATGAACAAATGTGGAGGACCTTTCTCAAGTTCGGACGTGTATTTGCCATATATAGCCCCCAGAGAAAGAACAAGGAAGGAAGCAGGTTTGGGTTTGTGCGCTTCCTGGACGTCAAGGATGAGAGGAGCCTAGGGAGACAGTTAGATCAGATCTGGATTGGCAACCAAAAGCTCAAAATCCACCCTCCTCGTTTTAACACTCAAATAACACTGGTACACCCCAAACACCATACCAACACTGTAGGGAACCCAAAACAAAGCTACGCGGAGGTAGTGAAAGGCATTGGAAGTAGAGGCGACGACTGGACAGCCGATAGAGGTATCAAACCTGTCCAACACGGGTTCACAAAAAACAGTGGCAAAACAAAACAAAAATGGGTAGAGAAGCGGAGGGAATTGCATTGGACTGGACTTGAGTTCAACCCGAGGCATGAAGACTGGGAATGGCTTGAGGGATGCTTTGTTGGAATAGCCAGATCAGTAGAGATTGTGCCCATACTTCAAGAAAGACTATACATGGAGGGGCTTTTCTCAATCAAGCTTCAAGCAATGGGTGGGAAACTTGTCCTTATGAACTGTGAAGATAAAGAGGAATTGAAAGAACTAGTTGAGTCAGCAAAAGATTGGCTGGGGCAGTGGTTTGTCGACATTAAGCGTTGGACCCCCCAGATGGTTGCCACGGAGAGATTTGTTTGGCTGAATTGCTATGGAGTCCCTCTTCATGCATGGGGTCCTGACTTCTTCATCTCAATTGCAAATCTATGGGGGAATTTTATCACCCTAGACGAAAGCACTAGCTCTAAAAAGAGGTTTGATGTTACAAGGTTTTTGATCTCCACATCAGAAACAGGCCTAATCTCTAAAACTCTTACTGACAAAATTAACGGCCACATGTACTGCATAAAGTGCAAAGAGGAGGAGACAACAAATGGGTGCTTCTCTTTAAAAGCAGACTTCCAACCAATGTCCCCATCAAACTCTGAGGAAGATTGCAATGAATCTTGGTCCTCCGACAATCCATCCGAAGACACTCAAAGATTTGGCCAGAATGGAGTCATGCACGGCGGTGACTCTAACTCGGCATCCGGTGAAGACGATGATGACATGGCACTGAAGGACAGCCAAGCAGTGGGGAAGTCAACTAGGGTGAGGATTTCGAAGGACCTTTCAGACTGGAACAGTGCAAATAATAAATTCAACTAGCAAGAAAGGACGGCTATTTGTTCCCAAGAAAGGCATGAGGAGGGATGTTCAATAGACGCAGTTGGTGATAGCCTGACACCGCCAAAAAATTCAAATGATTACAAAAATTTGAATGGAGAAGATGGTAAGCAAGTGGTAGATGGAACGAAGCAACCCTCTGAACACTCCAGTAGT